CTTAGGTTCAAATCACACGAACCAATTTCACAATGCCCTACACTTTGGAAATAATTTAATCCACGTCCAATTTTTACCATCCAACCATTGCTGAACCTAAAAACAAATTATCGAATTTTGACCAACAAAATAATATAAGAAAAAGTAGAAAAACGCTTACAATGAAAACATCTCTTCAAATAAAACTTGCCTGATCTCTCGATCATGGAAATTCTGGTCGTAACAAACATCGAGTTCGATGTTATGGCATAATAAACTACCTTTCAGCTGCTGTAGTAAACCTTCTGCCCTGGCATCATAATGCGTCCAAAGACGTATCGTTTTTAGGTTTGGTGCATGAAGAACAAATAATTCGCAAAATCGTACGAAATTCAAAACCTGCAACAAGCATTTAACCTTTTTAAATTAACATGTTTCTATTCCTTAACTGATAATGAAATTAATTCGAAGCCGATTTTTATTTCCCGTTCTCACTTTCTTGTCCTCCTCATCTAAATCTTTTTAAATAAACATACTTGATAAGGAAGCATAATATAGGCATCTCGAACGTTAATTTCTGTTAGATCATTGTCAGCGCATCGTTTGAAAATTCTTTCATATCCAAAACCAGTCTGAAGATTAACAACTTATTGTTCGAAAAACCACGTAAATTTTAAGTTCATTATAAATTCTATGAATCTACGATCTACCGAAATCTTCTCGAGTACCTGATTAAAATCACCCCTAAGTTCTAAATGATTAATAAAAATTGGTATTAATATATTCTAAACAGAAAATAAATATGCACATTTCATAATTATGCAATATTAATTATGGTTACACAAATTGTAAATTTTGCGATCATGGAAATTCTGAAAATTGTTTATTAGAATGTGCAAATAAAATTAGCAATTAGCAAAAATTTATGCCCCCCTCCCCCAACTTTACAAAGTTAAACCATACATCGTTATGCATGATATGTATCTGCTGCACTGAGAGTATTTCTGGCTTCATTTGTCCTTTTAGTACCTCTGCTCTAGTCAAATATTTTGAAATTTTTTCTCGTAGAGCTTCTCTGGCACTTTCTACCGTGTCATCACCTAAAACGAATGTATCATTTACCTTTCGGTCATTCGTATTAATAATTTTACGGAAGCTTCAAAATATAAAACAATCTGCAAATATGATTTTTTTTTTGAAAAGCGAGATTTTCAAACTATAGTTTAAATTTTAATATTAATGTCAGCCACCACTCTGAAGATAAAACTAAGCAACTGCGTTCCTAGAAATAAAAAGATATTTTAGAATTCAATCGCCTACCAAAGAGAGAGAAAACTAACTCACATGACATGGCTCTGAGCAATAAAGTGATACCCTCTACATAATTCTCCACTGCTTCATCTTTTTTGTTGTCTCGATCAAGGGCAACTGCTTTTTGCAAAATTGGCTTACTTTTGTCAATAAAGGATTGCATGACCAATTTCATCAACTTCCATTTGCTGTTCCTCTAATCCTACAACAAATTAAAATTTATGTTATCAATGTGGAATCACACAAAGATGCTAAAAAACTTTACCGCAGAAAATATGACATGAAACACATGACAATCTGAGAACGTATTATGTTTAAACAAGAGGAGCTAACATACAAAATATAAAACCTTGAAAAGGAAAAATTCAAAACATAGAAAAAAAACTTGCGGCATGAATTTAAGTAGGGCGTGGAAGTATTTGCGACTTGCACCAAATTTCATTCTGAAAAAAAAAAGGCAGGTTGTAGATTTTTAATTGGATCCTTCCTTTCTAATTTAAAAAACATTCCATCAATTACTTCCTGTTACTATCACTGTATTTTTGTAGCACTACTCCTCACAGGTTCATAGCAATTTTTTTTTCTAGTTTCTTCAATTGCAATATCTTTTATATATCATTATATGATGGTTGTGCACAAAAACATTATTAATCCATAACAACATGTATTTTTCCGGAAGAATCTCTCTGTTTTACAGATTGTATATGAGTAATAAATGATTTGGAGAAATGATAAGGTAAAGAAACGAAATACACAATGCACTATTCCAATAATGATATGAATCAATTCAGTCTTCTTAACTTGTCATTACTTGCACTTAGCTTCAATTTATGGTAATCGTTTTTCTAAGTATGCCTCACTTTCCATGCATATGAACTCTAACATGAAAAATTTAAGCATTAAGCCTCAAAACCCCTCATTTCCACTAACCATTTCAACTCGGACATCTCACCGCAATTACAGTCTCTTTGAATGACAACATTAAGTATTCCTGTTAGGACGCTTTGAAAACAATTATCTTGAAAATTGTTTCATTTTCAACTCTTATGATTCTGGTTAGTTGATGAGGGCGAAAGTTTAAAATTGGTGTCATTAATCTGCTTTTTAGCAAAGTTCAATTGTGAAAATGAAGATTGAGATTTGTTTTAAAATGAAGGATTAATACTACATCAGTTGCAGAGACTTCATTAGTTTGAGCTTTTTCTCAGTCGTTGATTCCAGAAAATGCAACTTATATGGCTTCTAAGAGTCTCTTCTCCCAATTGCTGCTCTTCATCTCTGACTTTTTTTTTAATTTCTGTACTGTTTTTATCTTCTAACCATGGATTCTATTTGCTGTTAAAAGAGCAAATAATATCGCGTTGTTTTGTTTTCGAAAATTTTGACGCGGATTTCAAATTTCTATTTATTATTAACTATGAGATGAAATATCCACAGCCACTTACCATTAATTTTAGCCAATGGTCGGCTGACGTTCAGTTGAACCTTCACCATGACAACATTACCGGTGTTATTTTACACCAATATTTGAATCATATAATGAACCTGTTTCATTATATAATTCTGTTAACACTCAACAATAAGCCATGCACAAGTTTTCTGGACTTCCCGAGCGATAACATTCGTAGGTAAGTGCTAAGGGAAAATTCTGGCACTTGATGTTCCAGAATACTGATTTTGCTTAGGAATGGATTCGTTGTCAAGACGATTTTTTTCAAATGCTTTTTTAAATAATCTGATTTTCAGTTTTCACTTTTAATGCAAATATTTTAACTGCTTGGATATTTGCTTAATAATTACTTACGATTACTTATAAATATTGAATATTTAAATTTTAGATTACCAGCACTGAATATTATCGGTGGTTATCCAAGTTTTTTTGGAGCGATTTACGTATATGATGAGAATAGCAATCAAGTTCTGAACCATTTTGACCCAAAGTTGAGCCGATTTATGCCGCTTTCAACAGTTTTACATTCTGTTGATAGGTAAATTTTTGATGTCCAATTGTTAAATAAAGTATCTGATTTAGAAGGTGATGAGGCACTTTTTAACTTCTCCAATTCAAATTAAACTGTTCTTACATTTCTGAATGTTTGAATCAAACATAATTATTTGATTTGCTTGCCGCATCAGATTTTCGGCCCAAAGGGCGGTGGAAAATCACTGATTGGGTTTTGACCCGCAACTCTGAAGTTAGTGAGATGTTTTTCTTGTCAACAGAGGAAAAGATTTGTTAGCAGTGTAAAATGAAAAGGAATGAAATTTGTTTTTTTCAGAAGTATTGATTGTTCGAATCTAACTTCTATCAATTCTGAATGTGAAGTGATATGCCCAAAGTATGGTTTTTTTGTGTGTTAGCTGTGAATATTCAGTCTTTGCTTCTCCGGTCCTTAGGCACCAAAATTTGTCCATGAATTCGTTTCTAATTTCTGCTACGTTTATACTTTAATCATTTGCTTGATGTTTCTCTTACTTGCAGCATCTGAAGCATTAACGAAGATGATCCTACTTTAAAAATAGTTCGTGTAAATGTCTAACATTTCAACATAGTTACAGTACGGTCAACTTGTACAACTGGAGACTGTATATGTTGATCGTACTGAATTTGTGTAAAAACGGATTTTTATAATGTATATGATGTTTAAGGAATGATCCAAACTGTACGATGGAGCAGCAAGTTGTAAGTTATTTTTGTGCTTTTTTTTCTCACTGAAAATTTCTCTAAATCAGTGCAATTTATTTGGAAAGGAGTGCAGTCATTATCGAGACTTGCTAATGTAAGTTCTCGGAAACAACTGCAATGCACTCGTTTAAGCATTTTGTTTCAACTACTTGCTAATTAATTCGTCGTCAAGTATTACTGTATTTTACTATTTTGTGATTAAAAGTCGAAATATATTAATTAACTAATTTATGGCTTCCCTGTCTAGTTATCTAACGTGTTATAGGGTGACGATAGAGACTTATTGAAGGCAGAAACTATGTTTGAAAAGGGAAGTATTAGGGGCTATGTTTACGGCGATGAAGTACGCACAAATGGTCAACTATCAATCTTAAGACCAGGTAATTAATCTGTTTTGTGTCTTTCTCATTTTAACGATGCTTGAATGACGAGTTGTGATTGTACTTCTCCTTAAAATTTAGCTACCGTTTATTAATAGAAATTTTCTTTGGATACAAGCAATTTTTTGGTAATTTTCCAGTAGTTGGTAAAAAATTAACTCAAATTTTAGACGCCAACGGACTTTGCATACATTTGTATAAGCAACCAATGAAGTACAAAGTAAATTATACAACTAGCTGTCGATGGCATTTCCGTATAGAAAAGGTCACATTTTTGTTATTCTGAGGATAGCATATAAATAATGCTTTCCATAGTTCAGTGTTCCCGGAAAAATGAAATTTCAGGATTGTGATGTCAATGACCTGATAAAATTTTTTTCGAATCAGATGAATAGTACCGAAATATGTGATCAAACCGGAAATCATTGCATCGTGCCAATCTTTAGGTAAGGGATAATTGGCTTGTCTGTTAATTCCAATTGCAATAATCACTACTTTGTTTTCTGTACTGCTTTCATATATTCAATCTGAATACCTCACGGATTATAGAAGTGATATCGGTTAAACAGTTGTTATAGAAACTTCAAGTGGATTTGGAACAGAAAGTGGGAGCTTATTTGAGAGTCCGCTTATTTGGGAATTTTATCTTTGTTTCAGAAATAGGAATACTGTATCAAGTGATCAGAAGTGTGATAATTACTCTGTAATGAGTATTCGTTTAGCTACCCAACAAGGATCGATTCTGGGAATGTTGGTCGAGTGAGTTGCGTTTTTATTTAAATATGCATATTAGAATTTTAATAAGTCATTTTAGATATGTTATTAACTAATTTACCATCGTAATTAGCTTTCTTCAGTAAATAATTTCAAGTTGCTAAAAGTTTTTTAAAGAGAGTTCAGTTTATCCCAACATTACTTCAGGAGAAATTTCGCTTTGAGGTTAGGTTGAGAGAATATCTCTCTCACTTCCAATCTACTGACGCGCAGAGAGTGATAGGTTTTAGCTCACTTTATCGTTTTCCCAACGATAAACAAACCTTAAGCTCCCGAAGAATCGTTTTGGAACAGAAAGAATATTAAAAAATTTTTCTTTGTAGTAATCCTTTATTTAAAACCGATGTGTTTGTGAAATTTTCAGTTTTCTACCGTCTTTGAATAAGTGTCGCGAAAGCTACTGTATTTTGACGATAAAAATATCGTTCCATGAAGTTCCGCAACGATTCCTGGACAAAATGAAAACGTCAAGGTAATCAATACTCCCAAAATGAAAATGCTAAGGATATAGTGATAATGTTGGGTAAATACGGAAATAAAAAAATCTGTGTGCGTTTCATGCAAAACATTTAAAAAACCGTCCTGGCTTTAAAACTAATGCATACTATGTCTAAATATTGAAATTTAGAACTAAAGAATGAATATCAAATCAGTTTCCCCCCCCCGATCATCAGCATTTTTACAGATATGAGAATAGCGAAGGTCGCTTCCGTTGTCCATCTGAAGTTACATGTCCAGCAGAATTATTTTATTTCTTGAATACGTTTGGTCTTGGAGAATTTTCAACGCAATTTTTTGTGATAATACCTCTTCTTGCTTTATTTTTGTTGCATGTATCATAGAAAAATGTTGAGCCTACATCTGAAATTTTTTTGTGATGTCATTGCCAGCGAGTATAAATACATGTTCTCAACGGCCTTTAATAAAGTTTTTATGCACATCAGTTGTAAAATTTCATTGAAAAAAGAAAAAATTGGTAACACTTAAGAATATTTAAAATGGTGGTAATAATATCACTAGTCAACATTGAATCTAAAAACTTCTATTTTTTGACATACTATTAGCTGTGTTGGAAGTAAACTAATCTGAAAAAGGTTTCAAGCAACTTCAGCCATTAACTTTAGTTCTGAGCTATGAAACTCATGTAAAATTAAAATCCATAGAAATTAAATACAAAAGTTTCAATTATATAGATCAATGGATCAAATAGTTAAATTCGGTTCGAAAATGTTTAAATATATAGTTGTTTCTCCTCGAAGGAAGTCAGAATTATTTTGCGAAAGAGTGAATGTAAAAATTGTTACTTCAGTCAATTTTACTACGGCATGCATCTGAAGCTTATGCTAGGTTCTTATCTAAACTCTTTTTTTGCTTTGCGATAAAGATCTTATTCCAAGCAATCATTTTGTTTCATTGAATCGCCAGTAAAGAATGAAATACACGAAGTTCCCATGGCGTATGGCAATTGTTTATAGTGTCTTTTTTTCATCAACTTATTTCGATTTTTCATTCACGCCATGAATCACTGAAGTATTTGTTCGGTCTGCCCATGTACTTTTCTTCTTTTTCTGTGCTTTTCGGCGTTGATCTCGAACGAACTGCAAAGAAGGGACGATCAATCATCCCTTAACATGATTAATTTAAAACTTTGTCACTGATGTAAAGACTTAACCATTTTTTAATAGAGAGTTATGCGACTATGCGCATAACCCTCTATTAAAGGACTTTCCTCTAGCATTCATCTTTCCAGTCGGGAACAGAGAGCTAACCGAGATGCCAAAAATTGTTTTCGAACTCCAAGCTTTCTGGTACCAGTATAATAAATCGCGGTTCTGCCTTTAGAAGATATACTACATCTTATTTCGTCCCAGTATCAATAAACCAACCCTTTTGATTCCTAAGCGTATTTTGCTCCATTTTGGTCGTATTTCTTCCACTGTTCGAGTCCTGCGAAAATTTCCAGCCAATTTTGCTATTCTGTTGTCTGTTTGATCAATAAAAAATTCAACTTTGAAATTGGCATTTGTACTCATTCTCCGGAAAATGAGATGAAATTACTCAGGGCATTTTAGCAAAGAAGGAGAAGGGCAAAATCAAGAAAACGTGAACCATTCATCACACGGGAAAACGGTAATCTCGAATAGTCAGTCCCAGTCAGGAACGACGGACCGATTTGCAAAAATGGCATGAACTGGTTTTTGGCTGTTTGCTATGAAATGACAAATTGTGAAATTGAAGGGTGGTGTGAGAGAAAGTTAAAGATAGAGAGAACTTGGAAATGGGATGAGCAGGAATTGAAGCCATAAAAAAATAGCGTAGAATTAAAAAGTATTAGAATAAGAGTTTGAAAGAAAATTACTAAGATATTTTGTATTTCTAATTGCTGTTGAAGGGGTGGTAGAGATTGAGAGTGACAGTGATGTAAAATGTTAGCATGGATGGGTTAGTGATGGAAAGTTCTGTTCCATCTGGTGGCAAGCAGGGGAGTGCATCTCGGATAAGTTTCGGTCTTGGATCATTTACGGAAGTGCGGTGTGTGTGTGGTCGGTTAGTAGCAAACGACGGGATAGGAATTGGAACTGATAGGAATTGGAACTGAATGACATTCAAATTTAATTATTTCAGTGTTTACGTCATACATAATGTCTTATATGTATTTGCGTCATGTATATGCATGCGTGATAAAATGTGTAAAATAGAAGGCAATATTTTACACATTTTAGCACTCATGCGTGATAAAATGTGTAAAACATTGCCTTCTATGTGTAACAAACGCTTCGAAAGTCTGAATGAATGGTAATGAAACTTCACCTGACCTTTTCTTTGCTGCTATTATCTTAGATGTAGATTCTATTTTAAAGTCATAATAAATGTAAGTATGATCACCGTCATTCAGACTTCAATGAAGGTTAAATGACTGTGTCAGATGGGATTTCACATTTTTCTAGTAGAGATGTGTTTTATGGATATTGCTCGAATTTTGTAAGAGAAAACCGTTCATGAATTGATTATATACTCACAATATTCTTTTGCAGATAGTTTACAATGTTGAATCTTCAAAAACGGATCAATGGTGTAGATGAGGAAAAAACATATTTGGGTACACGCATATCGATTCGAGATAAATTATTGTCACAAGGTTTGTATTTTCTTATTGGTACGCTTATATTTCATTTTATACAGAAGGCAATAAATGCTTACATTGTTTGTGTGTGAGTTACATGATAGTTGCATTGACGAACATATTTTCTTTAGTGCAAAAAATGCTCTATTCATGTTCAGCTAAACTATACATAATGAATAAGTGAATACTTGAAAAAGTCTATAATTTCTTGGTCTTTACGTGATTGATTGCTATTTGTTTTATAGTATGTGTCTTTCTGTTGATTTTTTCCATATATAACTTTGTTGATTCATCTTTTTAGCATGATCGTGGAGTATACTTCTTCACCATGTTGTTTGACCTTACCATGCAGTTGATGCTTGATATAAAACTAATAGATAAACACATCGCTTCGATGTTTGTTAATAATTTTATTGCTAAAATTCTTTTTTTAGAAATAAAGGAACTTGAATCAAGTCTTAAAAAAGTGCCTTCATGTAAGTTACATTTCCCATCAACATCTGCATTGCATAATATGGAACTTATTGTTTCACCAGTGGAAGGAATTTACAAAGTATGTTCTTTCTAACGCAAAATAATATAGTATCAAGTAGTATCCTGAAAATTGGTGGCGTCTTTTTAGTTCAGTTCTGAATTGTAAGAATGAGGTAGATTTTTATTTAGCGCTATAGTATAGAGGAAAACTAACATTTATGAGCAAAAAAGTGATATTATCACTGATTATTCTACATTTTGCTGAATTATTTAGCAGAATTTTAATGAGTTTTTTAAATTAATGCAGCTTCAGTTTATGTCTGCTTAAACATATTTAAACTGTTAAACTAATTTCAGGGCGGGATATTCAAGTTTACTATAGCAGTACCACCCGAATATAACAATGTACCACCTGTAGTAAAGTGTTTAACGCGTGTATGGCACCCAAACATAACTGAGGAGGGCTCCATATGTTTGTCATTATTGCGACAAAATAGTCTTGATGGTTATGGTACGTACGTATATTTTTCTATCGTAAATTAAAAACATACAGTCGATAAACGAGAGGTTACTGCTTAGTGACATAGTATCGTTCAATCAATAGAAATTAGAATATGATCATTTGTGCTAGATTTTTGCTTTAATATTTTGAGTGAAAGGATTGTCTTGGAAGTGGAAAACTGTGGAAGTATAATAGTACGTAATTCTCCTCTTAATGAGGTTTTTTTTTTTGATTTGAGGATGGATGCCAACTCGCAGATTGATTGATGTTGTACTTGGCTTAGACAGTCTTTTCACTGATCTGATCGATTTTGACGATGCTCTCAATGCAACAGCGGCCCAGCAATGGTCAACCAATAAAGTATTTCATTTGTATAACATCATTTTCATAATTTGATTTTTAAATTGTAATGAAATATGAATAGAGCGTTCTTGTTTTTTAAAAAAAGTTGTTTTATGGTTGTGAAATTGATATAACTTGAGACTGGATTTAAATTGCTAAAATCGGAATAAATCCCGAATCATGGTATGATTCAGGGTTCATCCCGATTTTAGCAATTTTAAATTTATGGTAATTAATTCGATTTTAAACATAATAATGTTACAGCCACCAAAAATTCACAGTATTTAGATCGTTTTTCAAATCTGCCATATTATATGGTAATTGTATATTGCTCTTTCTTCATTACTCATATTCGATATTATATGCTCTGCTCTTTATAAATAATAAGATGAAAACCAAAGAAAGTTTCTCTTTTTAGTTTTTGGACAATATTAATCTTCAAAAGTCGAAAGTTTTTACCATTCCAACTTATTAGATCAAATAAAAAGAGTAACATTTGGTCATTTGGTGCAAGTACATAAATTACTCCAATTCCATTAGGAACGTTTTCATTTCTAAACATTATATTGAGTTATTAAATGGTATGGAATCATATTGAATTTCTTTTGATACGAGATTTCAACTGCATGAAGAAGTAATTTTCTTATCCACATCATTATTGATTTCTTTTTTAATGTTCTGTGTTACTTTATTTACATTTTTGAAATTACGTCGCCTTTTTTTATGTATTTTATTTCAGGAAGCATACATTGCAAAGGTACGTGATTACATTGTGCGCTTTTGTCGGTGAAAAATAAATGAAAGAAAAAATGGTTTTATACAAATTTCGAAAACATGATAATAATTGTGTTTTGGACTGTAATACGGTAATTAATTAAAACAAAACTTTTTCATGAAGAATTTGGATTTTTGTATTCTATGATATTTTGCATTGAACTGCGTTATGATTTTGTCTGTATTTTTGTATATTTTATATTTTGTAGTTGATTTTCAAAATCTTAAATGGCTTGGATAATATTTGATGAGTAACTTACTAGACTAATAATAGTTAGCGAAAATCGCTGTAATGCATTTGTATTGATTTGATTGTGGGGCTTCATGATCGAAGATTTGAAATGATTGCCATTTGGTTTTCGTTCACATGGCATTCGTCTCAATTCTTATTTTTCAGGAGAGGGATGTTATCATTGGTGTCTTTCAGATTGTGGAATTTTTTTAATTTAAGTCAATTGTTTATAGTATAAGACATTTATTTGAGCGATATATTTGAAGCTTTAAATAAAAGCTATATTTTTGTAGCAACATTGAATGTCAAAAGACAGCAAATGTCTATGGGAAATTAAAAATTGCTGCGCCGATGATCGAATATTACAGCAGTCAATGTTACCGATCAAACTATACTTATATAACTTTTGCTGCAACATTACAGTTAACAGTTTCTTACTTCAGTGAATTTAGTTCTGTTAAAAGTTGGTGACTGCATAGTGAAAACCAAATAAAATTTGACTTTGTTTTGGAAATTAGGTTGATGAATTTTTTCGCATTAGGAGTTACCTATTTACAAAGATAACGGACGGTATTCCTAATGAGATTCATTGATTCAATATTGATTTTGCTTAGAAAATCCTGAACCATCAGCATGATCGTTTTAGAGTTCGATAATCTGAACTTTTCATGAATAGCTTATGGGAGTATAATTCTCTTCTTTCGCTATCTCCTTTCATTCAAGCCTTCTATAAAGAATATCAGGACAGTTGTGAGGAAGAGGAGAGTGCGATAAATAACAGCTGCGATTTTATAACAATTTTCACTAATCTAATTTTCTTTTTGGTGTTTTTTGACATATGACAGTTGATATCTTAGATTTTCAGGGGCAAAATACTTCCTCATTTACTAAAGATTAAAATATTTGTTGACAGTTTTTTTAAACAGTTGCATATGAAGTGATGGATCATCAGTTAATGGCAGCATTGGCAGCACTTATTCTATTACCAAGAATTTACGGCAAGTCTGAATGCATGCAAGTTGTTGGTACTCTTGTTTGTCCGCAAAAACCTGTACTAGCAAAAAATGTGCAAATTGATTTGAAAGATGAAGACAGTGAGATTTTTGGTTGTTGTGTACTTATTTCGTACAATAATGCTTATTATAAATGCCTACCTCATCAGAAACAAAAGAATAGGTTGAGGATAGTTATGAAGGAATGTTCTTGGACAGTTAATGCTTAGATACAATAGTATCGCTTTAATAATCGTACTAACCTTCTATAAAATAGCAAACAAATGATTTAAGGGACTACTTGATTATCATGAATTTTTATCTCTAATTTTTGCAGTCTGAATAATAAATAGTTATTTTAGCAAGCAGCTTGAACACTTCTCATCTTCTGCTTGCCTTTCTCACTTAGTATTTTTAATTTATTACTTTTAAAAAAATGTAATTTTATTACATCTCGAAAGTTTTAATTATTGTTGAAAGAATACTGTAGAGTTAATTGATCAATTAATTTTATTGCAAATAATGTTGTAATCCTATGTGATCTTTTAGCAGCACTGCTATGGGAGAACCATGACCAGATGGGTCGAACTTGGTCGCAGTCTAATGGTTCATTTATGATTTCTGGATGTGGAGCCGATTTTGGTCCATTCAATACACCGGATCCATATATTGTTATTGAGCACAAATGTCCGAGTATTTTACGATCAGTAATGGAAAATAATGGTACAACACGGAAGACGCAATTTACATTAGTCAAAGTATTTCTGCCAAAAATCTTGAATATCGGCAAAGTTTTTTTAGATGATCCAGATTTGTAAAATTGAACTATTTGAATAGATTTCTCTTAGCAATTAATGTTGCTTTGCTAATAAACAAGATGAGAAATTCGTGGAACTTAGGTCAACATATAAGATACCATTTTTTCCTGCAACACGAAATATAGTCATCCCTAGCATTCCTGAATGAAAAAATCAAAAAATGAGATAGGAAATTGAAAACAGAAAAAAATAAAGGAGTAGTTGAGTGAAATGACGCTTCTGGATTACAAAAAAGTACTTTTAGCTTGTTTATACATATTTTTTGTAAACTGTTTGAATTTTCAAGTACTTTGTCTTCTGTAAACTGTGCTTTTATATGCCATGCTGTTTGTTCATTGTTACTGTTACGACATTTTTCCACAGTTGTTCCGAAATTTTCTTCTGTAATTACCAAGTATAGAATTTAAATTTTTTTTATTTGCACAACATTTCAAATAAGAGCTTCTACAGATTTCACGAACAAATTATCTTTATATTCTTCTTTATTAATGATGAATAAAAAAAGTGAGGACATCTTGCTGATCAAAATAGAAATTGAAAAGTGCACATATATAAGACATGTTCATTTTTTAACTAAAAGTTCGATACAAATACATTTATGTCTTTTAATAATGATCTAAACATATGGCCCTCCTTGTAAATCATATAAAAATAAGTAGAATTTATTTGTTACAAATTTCAGTAGAAGAAAAAGACCTGGTATGCTTGTTTTGAGTCGTACAATTGTTTACATAAAACCAAGTATTGTTGGTTAAATTATCTCCATTGGATGAAAAGTTTCCGGTTATGCTTTGCTGTTTAATGCTCTCATGAATATATCAGAGCGCAAGAGGGATAAAAAAACCGGTTGTTTGGGAGAAATAGAAAAGAATAAAGATTCGTACATTTGTTTATGCGAGAGCTGTCTAGATTGGACTAGACTGGTAAATAAAGCCTGAGTAGTTATAATAAGCACATGAAATTGTTCTACATGTAATATTACTATCGCTTTTCACTATGATAACAACATCACTGTTGCCATCGTTGTTGTTGTTGTAATTACCGTGTGTTTCGACCATTAACAGTCATACTGAAAATCGAGATGTGCTCTCTACGCAGGCTTACAATCCTTGTAGTACCATCCTTAAGACTACCATTATTACCACTCATTTCAGTAGCACTGACAAATAAGTATCAATTTTTGAATTCAATAGATTTTTTCAATGCAAATTTTGTCAATATCAGTGAGCCACTTCGAATTTCCGTTAATGACCAGCATTTCCCACTAAAGGTTTGTGAAATTTGTTGCAGTGTATTACTGTCGTCATAAGTCCGTATTATTTGTAGATCACATCACATTTGTGAAAGATACCAACAAATAAGATAAATAAATAATATGATAACTGTAAACCGCAGTAGTTCCTTTCTGAATTTCACATTTCTTAGAGGAAAAAGCGAGGCTCTGCAGTGATTTTCGAAAGTGATAAATGGCCAAATGGACGTATTCCATACGTTATTTCTTCCTCTTATAGTAAGCTTATCAGTTTTTATCATATTCAATCATACTTCTGAATTACCATTTTCCATTTTCCATTTAAAATATTGCGGATAACAATTATGTCTCTTTAGAAAGAATAAGGGATAAAGGTTTCTAATAAGCCTAAAATTTTAAAGTTGTGAAATTCCCATTTTTCGAAGATTAAACAACCTATACATGTCTGTGAAATCCAAATATCAAACTCTAAATAAAAAAGAAGTAAAAGGATTCGATCAATTAAACAATTTTTTTACAGCTCCCTATCAACGTGCTATAATTGCTCGTGCAATGGCCGCTTACGCTGCACGAACATGCATTCGTTTCACTCCTCGAGAACTATTTGATACAGATTACATTATCATCTCCAAAACTGACGGGTATAGAATTCGTCCTTCTGGATAATTAACATCAAATCACTTCTTAGATTACCAAGCAACAATTGGTAATTTAAGAAGTGGATGATAATTATTGATAAGTATATGATTTGAACGGAGAGATTTGGAAGCTGACATCGTGAACATCTTTTTTTTCTCGTTCTTCTAATGTATACAACCAAATGTAATCCCTGACTTATAGATGTTTTGCTGATTTTGCTCACGTCGGGGGAGGTCCACAACAAGTATCACTCGATGATGAATGTATAAGTTACGCGACGGTAATACATGAATTGATGCATGTGATCGGTTTCATCCATGAGCATCAACGCAATGATCGCGATTATTTCGTTAATATTTTGTGGCAAAATATTATACCTGGTAAGTTTTTCCTATAGTATTATTATCGAAATTGATTTTCACCCTTTTCAAGCTTTTCATTTTCTTCGGATTTTTCAATTACTAGCAGTACTAAACTCATCATCATAATTTTGGTGAATTCTGTTTTAATCCTTTTAACTTTCGTGGCTTTTTTCTCTGTACGTGTGTGTATGACTTCTCTTCACTGTTTTTCGAAATTTCGGCACAGATTGAAAAATTCCATCACCTACATATTAGAGATGAAAATACCTATAATCATAAAAATTCCCTTTATTAAAGTAAAAAGAAGCTTCAGCTGAATCTATAATGTCGAATATGCATATGAAAACTAAAATTATCACCATCCCGTAATGTAATTTTTAATATACATGTAAAAATACTTAAAACTTTAGAAAAGTTTACAGAAGTTTCGTCGAATGAAATTGTCCCCTCCCTCTTTTTCAGGTGCTAACACCGATTTCGAAAAGTTGAGTTCAGTAAGGTTATCATATTATGGTGAAAGTTATGATTATTTCTCTATCATGCATTACGAATCAGTGGAAGGTAGTCGTAATGGGAAAAATACGATAGAAGCAAGAATTCAAGCAATTACCCCATTAATGGGTAAAAGTGCTGATTTTTCATTAAGTGATATTAAGAGAATTAATCGAGCTTATAAATGTTAGAATTCTTTTTCTTCTAATAAAATGAGTTTTTTTTGATATCCTATGGACTAGAAAGCGAAACAATAACATGAAGATACGTACAATAGTTATAAGTTCAGGAAGACGCTTTTTATTACTTTTAATATTAAAGATAAGATGTATAGACCCAAGAGGCATTTATTCCTCATCTTCGAAATATCGAATCATCAGCAAAAGCAGAAAAAAAGAGATGTAATGATTATTTTTACTCAGTTTCTTCCCTCTCTTCGACTGAATTCAATATCTGATGCAAATAAAACCTGATCTAAAAAAAAACTTACTGAAAATTAAAAAATCATAATAAATATTGGCCCAGAAACTCGTTTAATCAATATAGTTCATGCAAATATGAAACGATTACTGTACCATATCACTCATAAATAATTCAATCAGGCGTAGATTTCGAGAACTGAACACGTTCCACTTTTACCTGATCGTCGACTAACTGATAGAGATATGTAATCAGCGTTCCTATTTGTACATCCAATAATGCAAATGACGGTATGACGTCACTAAATGATTAATTTTTTAAAACTTGAACAACTAAGACAAAGTACATTTAAATCATATTATTCAGATTTTTTCGGGCTATGTTTCATATATAATTTATTGAAATATTAAGAAGATATCCAATTAAGTATTACCTTTGTATGGGTGAGAAAGCTCCAGTTGCAGAACCTGGATTTACGTAAAATCGTCCCTCATGTTGGAAAGTTTGACATTCATGTGTATGCCCGGTTATCAAAACATCAACATCCATCTGCCGAGCTAACATTTCTAACCTCTAAAAACATTTATTTCCAAAACATGACCAAGAACTTCGCTTTCTAGGCGCTCCGGAAAAAGAATGAAAACAAGTTCCTGAAATAGTTACCTTTTTGTCACCCCAGGGTACAATTTGATGACCGTGACATAAGCCAATTCGGAACTGCCCAACTGTAATAACTTTAGTGTCTGGGTAATTCGTTAAAACATCGTCGAAATCGCCACGAGCCTGAAATAACATGACTGGAATAAAGAATCTCTGGATTCTCAATGCATCCAATAAACATTCCATGTAACACTTCTCTTGTTGATAATACAACTTCACACGAAGATTGTCCAACTAACAAATTACTTCGTTCTTAATTTCAACTATGGTTTTTCCAGTATTAATAACAAAGTAAATAGATACGATAAAAAATTTTGAAAGTTCAAAGAAAGAAAAATGAATTTCAAAAAACGTTTAAAATAGTTTACTATCTATAAATTCCTTTGAAAAACTATCTACTGAAGTCTACAACTTACTACGTGTACATCAGATGCTAAGGACTTCAGGTAATCAAATGTTTCACGTGTGCACAAATTACCGGTACATAACACATGTTGCATTTTGTTTGGTACCAGTAATTTACGAAATTTTGCTGGTATATTATGACTTCGATGTGGTATATGAAAATCACCGATAACAAGAACCAACTGAAAAAAAGCAAATGGCATAGATCGGCCTTAATATAAAAAAAAATGCAAGGAGAAGGATAGAAATGTGCAAAAAAGAGAATAACAAACCATAATTCGGATCGAAACTGAAGTAATTTCAAACAATCTTTATAAATTCATCAACTTTTGGTTCTTGCAGGCTAATCACTCATCAAGAAATCGCAACATTGAAATCCTACAATTGATTTCCTTAAAACAAAAAACTCCATGATGAACATACACCTCTCCAAAAATGCCAACCAAATCACTCTTCTCTCCCTCCACAGTTTTACCCCTCTTCTCTTCCACCTATCGTATCCAATTATTTGTGCTAAAAACCAGGCAAAAAAGATCAACTCCATATTGAACATTCCTGATCGTGTCGATGTTTTGTGTCCATCGTACTAAATTAAAATATGCAAATTTCGACATTTCCTCTCTTGCAATTTTCCGACTACAGGGTAGGAATGAATGAATAAATTGTAAAGGCTGCTTCTGCGATTCACTTCCAAATTCATAGCTATCGGATAAGTAAAATTTGACAGTGCAAGTATTTGCTCGTGAATTATTTCCCTGTACTTTTTTTTTAAATAGATTTTCCATAGTTTTCATACTACCATTCGACTAGAAATGCAATGTACTCAGACTATTTACACGGATATTTTATATCCAAACTTCTTGATAATGTGGTTCAGCTTCAGCACTAAATTGGTTGCACTTGGTTTACCTGATAATTTCCATTATCATACCCAAAAAAGTTGAGGATATGACAGTCCCTCTGCTCCTCTGCATATCTCATCTCATTATTACATTCATGCATTCTCTCCAAGAAATTTGAATTATTCGAAACAATCCCAATTCACAACAAGTCAATTATTTGTTTTGCATAAATGCATGCTGTAAGGAGGATGCGAAACAGTCGGAGAAATATTATATGCAGGAGAGTAAATAGAAAAATGAACGATTTTAAAGGAGTGGCAGGATGTCAGAGCGACTGTTAAAAATATCGTCGATGCGAAAGAAGAGCAGATGGCGTAAGAATGCTGGAAGTGCCCTGAGTGAAAGATTGGATGGAAAACAACCCATCTCTTAAAGGTCAAGGGTCGAGCGGTGCCTTTAATAGGGTAAGCATTACATAGTTCAGAGAGGTCATGGTTTTAGGGATAGTATGAGTAGTGGGTAGATTTGTTGGTTTGATAGGAAGGTGAAAGAAGGGGTAAGGGGGAACTGAGATTATTACCGTGGCTATTTAAGGTTACCTTCAGATCTTCTCTTGTCTCAACTTGCACATCCTTCAGTGCATATCTCTCCTCTCTTTACAGCTTTTCCTCCCTGCATGACTGCTTACACATTTCAGGTACACGTACGCGTACGTCTTATTACGGTTACACCTACACGTGCATACTTGCTTCTGGCGAACGTGTTTGCATTCATGTGCAAATGTGATGTGTACTTGTACGGTTGCGTTAATCATATTACACGAAGATCTTTATTAGAAGGGAGGTGGACCAGCTGTAGTTGTTTATGATGCGATGCACGATACGCTCGGATCACGTGCACAGCGCGCAACGCACCTCACCCTTTGATGCACTATGATGCAGTGGGAAACTGCGCTCTTTGTCGTGGAGGCTCGCACATGGCACGTTTCACACGAGAGATAGAGATGACTCGCTCGCGAGCGGTGAGAGGCGAGGTGGGACGTAGACGGGTATTACTTCTCAAATCCCGTGATATCGCAACGTTTTAGAGCGGGACAAGGCTATAGTTATCGAGTGAGGTTTAGTTACTGTTAGTTTCATTCCACCCCCCCGCGGTACCGCGGTGTCCGAGGTGGACGCATCAGTGGAATGCCTTGTTTCTCTATAGTGGCGAGATGAGATGTAATGTGTTGTGGTACTACCAGTGTCCCATCCGTGTCACCCTCTCTCCCCTTTATTCCGGTCGTCCTCCCACTAGTTCGACGACTAGGCGATCAATACATCACTGAGTATCAACCAATTTTCCGTCCTGAGTATCAGCCAAAGTTCGTTCTTCCTCTTCATCGCGAACTACGACTCGTCGTATCCTGTGGCCCTTTTTAGTTTTTGCAGTTCTACCGTCCGGTTATGGTAGTCCTTATTGTTGTCACTAGTTTTTTTCCGGAATTATCAAGCAAATTTCACATCTTCCCCACTAAAATTTGTTAAAAATGCGCAATTTTTACGATTTTTGCATCGCCTTCGCTGAAAATGCATAATTTGTCCGCAAGAACTGCGCCCTCTTCCAAAATTTTGCTACTTTTATTTCAGATTTGGTTTTTAACTTAGATTCCAAGTATTTGCTAGTTGTAATTATTTTCCCAAGCCTCACTTCCACAGTCATTTTACTTCTGTACAAAGTATACTCAACCTGTATCTAAGAAACTATTCCTGAAGACTTTGACGGAGCTGGTCATAGAAACAGTGAGAAGGCGGAATAGTGTGGGTAGATAGAGAGAATTAGATAGTGATACGGTAGTGGAAGTGCGTTGTCGAGGATGAAAAGTATGCGAGAGAGTATGTTAGTGCACATGCTGCGAGAGAGTTCTAAATGGTTGTAAATTTGAGGCTGCAAAAAAATGGGAGAGGTTTCTTTCTCATTTAACTTTTAATTTTAAAGAGTGAGCGGGAAACTTTGTACATTTTCATTCAATATTTGCTTTCTTTAAAATGAATCAAATGAGGGAAACGCGAATTGATATGCATGAATGGCGAACGAGATTAGTACTTATGCACTGTAAGAGGAGGAGGCAAACAGTGAAGTGACAGGTTGAAAATAAGGAACGGTCGGTTGTACTTTTTGTTATCTTTGGTTCACGATGGGAGTACAAACGAAGGCTGAATTCATCGGGACTTGAAAACATTTTTAAAGGATCGATCATCGATGATCAAATGATCTGCAGAATTAAGCATGAATTAAGTTGCATGCTTCCTAGCTATCATTATTAAATTTTTTTTTTTGACTTTTGTAAACACAAAATCAATTCAATTGGAAGTATGTGTGTAGCAAATGTTTATTGTTCAAGTGTATGTCCTCAAAAAGACAATTTCTTTCTTATCATTTTTCCATGAATTCTTCTTATGATTGATACTAGCTTGTTGAATATGTTAATGTTATGACTCTGATGTGTGGTTATGTCTTTGATCGATATATCAATTTGATGAATTTGTCTCACGTGTAGATTAGAAACGTTTGGTAGTTGTATTGTTGTGCAATGATATTTTAGATATGCAGTAATATTTTAAGAGATTTCTTTTGATCTACTAAAGTGACCTTTTTGCATTTTCAAAAATTCCAAGCAAAGCAATGCATTTCTTTTCGTTGAGTGGATGGCATATTATTCTCAGTTTGTGCTAAGTTTATTTTCAGCGTCAGTTGCTAATTCATCTTTCGCGTCCTTCCGTGAATTCTTGCTAATTATCATCTACAATGGCCCGTACCAAACAAACTGCTCGTAAATCTACTGGAGGTGAGCTATTTGCAGTTCGTTGAGTTTTTTGAATTCGAAAATCTAAATAATCCATTTTGAGAAATATTTAGATTTTTCTACATTGTAATTAAGAACTTAGTCAATTTGTGAAATTATTCAGATAGATTTTCGTTTTTAAGATCAAAATTCATGAAGTCCAGTTGAAGTGTATTCTGACAACGGATTTTTTAGGCAAAGCACCTCGTAAGCAGCTGGCTACAAAAGCAGCACGTAAATCCGCTCCATCAACTGGAGGTGTTAAGAAGCCTCATCGCTACCGCCCAGGTACTGTTGCGCTTCGTGAAATTCGTCGCTACCAAAAATCTACCGAGCTGCTGATCCGAAAACTTCCATTTCAACGTTTAGTGCGTGAAATCGCTCAAGACTTTAAAACCGATCTGCGTTTCCAATCGGCTGCTATCGGCGCACTGCAGGTGAGTTACTATCAGTCTTCATTTCTCAACATTCCCACTCTATGTATTGTTGTGACAAACACAATTAAATGTTAAGTTATATTTATTAAAATAAAGTTCGTTATAATGAGTTGCAACATTTGAAATATTTACAGTCAAGACATTTGTCTGCTGTCATAAATCACGTGAATGTCTAGAAATTTTCAGGGAGGGGAGGGAGGGTAAGGTAACTGAAACGCAGACATTTGATCCTTTGTTTGTTTGGGACTATATGATATAGTTTTTCTTTGTAAATTATTTCACTGAGAATTGTCAAAATTTTTTCATCCAACATTGGATATTGTTTTTTAATTTTTTCTTGAAAGAGCGTAATTGATCCATATACGAACATTATGTGCTCAGGCAACTATATTTTTCAGGAGGCCAGTGAAGCTTATCTGGTTGGTCTTTTTGAAGATACCAATCTGTGCGCAATTCATGCCAAGCGCGTTACAATCATGCCAAAAGACATTCAGCTGGCTCGTCGTATTCGTGGTGAACGCGCCTAAGAAAGTTTTATTGCGTTAATGTATAATTTATCACTCATTATTACTCTAAAATGTGTTGTAACTTTTGGTTTCTTTTCTCATACTGCCTCAAACAGTTAAGCACAATGTCCCTCTCCAATTATAGAAAAATCACATCCAGTTTTATAGTACATACATCTCTACTACATTCTGAAATATGTATTTTCTGTTTCTATCTGAAGCTGATTTAATTTTCTTGTTTTTCATATTTTTTGTAGAAAACATGTTATCTTAAATGTTCAGATTAAATTTCTTTTCGTAGAATTTTCAGGATCAGAGAAACATGTCCATTTTTTTTACTTGAATAACTTGTGGGAGTAACAATGGTTTTTTCCAATTAGTTTTTTTTATCGCGATCTCTTCTTATCATTCAATAGATTCTTGAAATTTTTGGAGTAAAGTGATTATAAGCTTTCTTTGTAAGCTTTCTCTGTTTCACATAATTTTGCAAAATATTTAACCTAAACAAATAGAGATCCATTGTCAGATTCTTGTCATAGAATATTTATATAATCAAAAGATTGTATATTTTGACCAGTAACTGATAGCGTCACAAACCGATATTAGTTGATATACAACAAAGTATGCGTTTTGAGAACAGGATGATTCAGCATTTCTCGTTTGGTATCATCTTATTCAGAGTGAGGAAAATGGTTGACGATTATCACAATAATTCATGAATTCTCATAAGGAAAAAATATTGTTTCCTTTCAGTTTCAATTTATACATAGAAACGTGAACTTATATTTCATAGAATATAGCTTTCCTCTGGTGTACTAAACGAATCAATCGTTCAGATTTCAAATTTTTGCAGTCGTGGGTGCAGTATGCGGAGATCTGTGCTTAGCTGAGCTGATGGAATGTAACGGAAATATAATTTGCGTGAATGAAAAGAAAAAGCTAGTTGCTTGTACAGATTTGTTGGCAAAGGGCAGAATAAAAATTGGAAGTTTTTAGAGTGAAAATGTTTTTCTTAAAATAGAAGGTAGGGGTATGTGCAATTGAGATGAATTGTTCAAGAACATTAACCAGTTTTCGGGATGAATTTATTTGCTAGTCACTTCTGTGTCTCAACCTTTTTCGCAAAAGCATATGTTTAATCTTGAAGATGATTAAAACTCTAGCAAATTCATCTAGTATGGATTTGAATAAACTATCGCTAATTCCCTTGATTCTGCTTGCTATGAATTCTCTATTTTGTTGGAATTTTTGATTTAATTTTTGTATAAATTATTACGATGAATGGGCGGTAAAAATGATGATATATCCGCAATTAAAAAAAGATTTCTCCGTGGTTAAAAAAAATCTAGTCTTATTTAATCCATTCCAACTTCACTTAATGCAATTAATTTCAATTAATGATACTGACCTACTACTTATGCGAAAAGTATGAAGAATATTTTTCCAAATGTTTAATCTAAATCATCACATATAGACGAGAAAATTTAGTGATGCAAATGTAAAATGAGCTCAATAGAATAGAGAAAAATTTTAAGACACCTTGTTGAAATCAAAATTTTTCATTGGAATTTATTCAGTAATTCAACGAGATTTGGTTCATGATAGCATTGGAAGAAGCTATTCCGGTTTCTGTGTGTTGCGATTAGTTTTGGCGGGAGTGGAATGAAGAATTGTCATAAAATATTTTTTCTCTGAGTGATCTAATCCAAATTCATCGTACATTGCTAAAATCAGTTATGAAAACGACAATTTTGATTAATCATAAATAATGTTTTAGGTTGAAGTTTTTAACGAAATTTTATTTCAAGTCGATTATGCGATGTGGTGTTAACTTTAGTATTTAACATTAACGCCTTATCATATTTTAAAGCTGATATAATCGATGAGTCACTTTCCGGGAAATCTTTGGAAATGGCAATGGCCATTGGTGAAATGTTCGTGGAGCTGCATATCTCATTATCTTTTTACTAGTGTATTGTTAATGAGTACTTTAATTGGTGCTATTACTTATCTGTACTCAACTTCTAGACGATTATCTCGCAATGCACTTCGACCTCTTACTAGTAAGTTCTACTGACTCAGTTATATTTTATTGATACTATGTTATATTTCATTTTTCATAGGATTTATTCTTTTCGTTCTACTAACAGAAGTTGATATATCGTTTCTGTTTATTTTTGCTTTTATTTTTTATAGAATTAGTCTCGAGTCTAAGTTTTAGATCAGTTGTGCGCAAAAACAAGACTAATAGATTTTACGGATTTGTTTAGATGGCAGTGCACAAAGTGTTCCAGCAATGTTCAATCTGGGCAACACATGCTTTGCTAATTCATTGTTGCAGGGACTTGCTAGGTATCCTTAATTTAAATTATTTTTGCTTATAAATCAAGCGGTGTGGAACTTTCCTTGTTTTTATTATTTAAGATAATTATCTCTGCTTTCGCCATTTTTTGATCCAAACGGAAAGAATGGATTTTGATTCATTGCAGCTCAAAGGCTTTTTTAAAATGGGTCCAGACGATCGATACTAAATTTGCTTATGATGGTCACAAATTGATGTTTTTGGACGCTTTAAAACGAGTTATTAGAGGTTCTGTTTTGTTAAAGAATAAATATAGATATGGAAGCTAGATTAGCCGCATGGGATGCGCATTCATTTCATGTTTGCAGTTTTTCGTAAAAATTCTAAGTTTATGAATTACTGCTAAAATAAGTAGTAATTCCTAACCTTAGAATATTTCGAAAATAATAGCTTGATTTCTGGCTTACTAAAACATTATTGGTAATCTGAAGTAATTGAAACACGCGACCAGTAACGAATATTGCATTGTATACAATATCTGAGGATAAATAATTTAAAAGTGAAACTACTCTCAAGATTGGAAAATTCTACTTCTCTTATCAACTACAATTTAGATATTCTTTATTTGTAGAGTTAAATGATACTACAAAGGAGATATGTTCCGCTGCAGATGTGATCGATACGTTACTGGCACATAGATGGTCCATACCACCGAATACAGAGCAGGTATTTCGTGAATATCCAGTTCCTGTTTTTTTTTTTGTTCTTTTTGATTGTGGTACATATTTTGCCGCTATTCATTTATCAGGAAGGAATCTTTGTAATGTTCTAATTTATAGCCTTTCTCTTAAGAAAGAGTATATCGTGCACTTTATAGGATTTATATGAGTTATTTAATGTATTCGTGACAACGTGGGATGAAGAATTGGCAGAATTGCGGCATAATCGTGAATCACCTTTGCAGAAAATCATCAAAGTCGTTGGTTTTACATTTCCTATACATTCTTACAAGTTTATGGATGACAATGTTTTCTTTAACATCAATTGGTGTCGTGAATTTCTTTGAGTTGTGAGTTGATGTCGAGCAGTAGCCAATGTCACCAGTATTTTTATACGAGCTGGGTTGATTGGTTATGTTTGTTGGGAGCGTTGGGTTGCATTTAGTAGAGTTGAATTGCGTTGAGATGAGTTGAGTTGTATTGGTTTGTATAGAGTGAACACCGGATAGTAAAGCGTTTACTGATCCCAGTCCGCAAAAAAAGGATAACTATCCGTTAATATCATGGGGTTTTATAAATGTTGAGAAGTGGGAGTGGTTTTCATTAAA